GACCAAATGCTTCATCGTTAATTTCCTGACGATATTTACTGTGGGACCTCTGGCAGCAACAACTGAAAAAACAATTTAAAAAACAGTTTCCTACACCTCTGTTATTTACATATATTTCAAAAGCACCCATGTCTCATAGAAGTCAAAAAACATGGGTTTGATTTTTAATTTTTTGCTTGTGTTGGATTTGATTATCAGCTGATTGTGTTAAGATTATTCTGGGAAATAGACGCTTTGGAAAGGAGCAGCAGTTGCCTCTCAGTATACTGTGTAGTTCATAAGCAAAAGAATCAAACCAAACATCAGTCTTTGGTTTGGCCACCCACTGATTGCACAGATCATTTACTGGAAACCTGAATCTTATAAATATCCTGTTGTTTGCATCTGCAGTTAATCTGGATTCCGAGGGAAAGACTGCTGATGATAAACAGGGTTGAGCCACAGTAAATTCCAAGGTTTCTGAAATGGCTGACTTGCACCAGGCAATAACGCTATCCCATCAAATGCCAGGTAACCAAGACCAATCATTCTTCAACCTCTAGACATACTGTTTTAACACCCGGACCAGGGCAGGAGCAAAGGGAACTCTAGCTCACCAACAATGTGGACCATGAGGGATCACAGAAATGTTCTATAGTTGCCCAAAAATGAGAATATATGACAAATTAATCTGTGTGAAAAAGCAGTTACTCATTTCTTTTGGTTTTAAGAAAATGCATTTCGCTTGTGATCAAATATGTAAGAAAAAAATATTTTTTATGGAATTAGTTTTTACTTCTTCCCTGTTCTTCCCCACATCCCTGCAGTGTGCCCCCATGAAACAGAGAAAAGGAGACACTTCTTTACACAAGGGGTTGTGGGAGTATGCAACCAGCTACTAATCTGTATCCATGAGATTCTCAGACCTATTAACTAAATAACCACACAGACTCTGGACCAAATGACACCTCTCTTTTGTCACATTCTCATGTCCACAAAAATTACATTTAAAGCTGCGTAAAAATGCTTGTCAACTTTGTAAAGCATTTTCAAGATTGTTTCTTTTGTTTTCTAGTTTTTTGTTTTAGTTGTGTGCTGTTTCTTTCAGTCAGGTTGGCCGTGTAGGTCATGCTCTCGGTATATCCGGCTTTGGAAACACTGGGAAGAGGGCTGAGCTTTTGCATGAAAGTTTGTGGCCAATGGAGCTCCACTGACAGCTGCTGTTAAACTATCTTTACTTTGGAATTTTTGTGTTAACAGCCTTTGTGTTTATTCCTCAAAACTGTGGCATGTATACAGAAGTATCCTCGATCACTCAGCATGTGAAATACTGAAATAAATCAGTAATACGGGATGCAAGATCAGATCCCGACCCTCTGCCCTGGGTGTTTTCACCTTGTTGTGCATGAAGTTGCAGAAAGTGTGGATTCCCATGCTGCTGGCTCTTCCAGGGAACAGCGTGCGGTCTGAGGTGGCGGCAGTGGTTTGGTTGCTCAGCATGATGGTGCTTCCTCAAAGCCACCCAGTTCCCTCAGGCTGACCCAGTATACTGTAGGAGACAGCTTCTGCTTCTTGCAGAAACTCTGTATTCTTGCGTACTACTGTATTTCTTAAGGAAAGAGGGAACTATATAAGCTATATCAATCCATATCTACTCAGTGTTTGAAAACAATAAAAAAGCTGAAAAAATGATTGGGAAAATACAGTAGTGTAACACATCCTGTAGGATTTAAAACTTTTCAAATTGTATATCTTGGACCTCAATTGGAATATTGTGTTCAGTTATGGAAAAGGTTTTTTTTTTTTAAAGAAGTCAATGTAATTTCTAGATTACAGGTGATGTCTTCATCAGACATTTTCCAGAACTGAATCTTTTTATCCTGGGTCAAAGTAAGGTTGTCTAGATCTAGATTAAAGGTATTGAGATAATCAGACCTTCGAATCAACAATAATACATGAACATGGACAGACAAGTACAAAATAAGTTAAGGAGCATTCAGAATTGAAAAAAGAGACACTTCTTAGAAAAGTGCTCTGTGGGTCTGGAACACATTACACAGCTTTTGGTTAACATTTGATCCATTTTAGTCTTTATTAAGTCTAGGAATGTTTCATTTCCAGTTCATTTATTGCAACAGAGAATAGGGTATTGTCATGACTTTTGTTGCCAAAAGAGTTTTTCCCATGTAAAGTAATTATTTTGCAGAGCATTTGGCTGGAGATGATAAGATGTTAGTGATTGTCTGTCTTTCAGGATGTGTCCAGTTCTCTACAGAGCTGGTGTCCTTTCACTATCTGCCTGTTGATAATTGCTTGGGCAGTGGCTCTCAAAAACAGGTTTGCTTCAGTCATATGAACATCAACCAGCTAATCTTCATTATACAGGATGGGTATGGTTGTGTTGTGACTAAAATCACAGCTTTTTAAATGTCTATTTGTGCAGATTCTTAATCAACAAATTAAAAAAATGTTATTGAAATACCAACCACTGAGAACATTGTGTTTTTTTAAAATGATGACTCGAGTTCAGTATTTTGTTAGTGCAAGGAACACTAGTACTTAAACATCATGCCTGTTTGCTCACAATTTGAAATGTAAGTAGTATTATGCCTCAAATGAGATACCAATGTAAAAGAGGCTGTTCTGTTTTTATTGTACATCAGTATTTATATGTCTCTGCGATCGGGGGCAACGTGTTGTAAAGATACAGGTCTCGTTTGAACACATGGTCCCTGCACGCCGTTAAAAGCTGATGGACAGGACAGTGGCGAAACTGAGAGGGAAGTGTTCTCCTCAGGAACATGAAGGCTGTCTGGCAATGGCTCTGTATTTTGGCTCAACTCTGCATGGCTCTGGCTTCTGCACTGCATTTGGACAAAACGAGCGATGAAGACCTGAGGTATTTCTCCTTTAAAGTCCCACGTCTGTGGTGTTTTTACCAAAACATTGGATAATATTTGATCAGAGTTTAATTTACTTTGCAGTTTTAAGTGATGTTCAACTTGAATCTGATTAAAACAATACACACCCCACTCCTTGATTAATGATTCTTTGTGTTTTGTATCATTCTATTGTACAGTTTAGGCTGCACTTGAAAATGTCTTTTAAGTTCAAAGCAGACTCATAATAACAAAGACTTTGATGTATTGCTGTTTTGTTTTAGCCTGTCATTGTGAGAACAAATCTATTAATAACAGCAGAATAACACTTGCAAAATTACCAATGCAGTTAAGGGACATTTTATTTTAATTTGGATTAGTTTTATTCTTTATTAAGTTCTGAAAATGTTAATTCCAGCTAATTTTGTATTAGTAAAGAGGGTATTGTCACAACCCGTATTTGATAAGAAACACCACCTTTAGATTAAAAACATTTTCCTTCAAATTTGTTCAATTCACCTTTGCAGTTAATTATTTGAAAGGCGCCTAAAGGGACAACAAACTGTACTAAAACCTTTAAAATAATTTCCGACATTCCTAATCTTGTCTCTGACACATTTAGGCTTTTATGAGGAAAACTGTGAGAACACTTCAGTTTTTTCATATAGATTTTTTTTCTTATTTTATTAGCTTTGTGAGCAGCTCATGAGATTTTTACTCAAGAAACTCTGACGAATCCCTTAATTCATGAAGTTCATGATTCATGAATCTTTCTATACTTGCAATGTCCTCCTGACTGAACTTGTGATTAGTAATGTTGTCTCAATAAGTGATGCCTTGTGGTTGAAGAGACTATGAAGGCAGCGGTATAATGCTCCAATGCTCCAAGCCAGTAAAATGTAGAAAATTGGTGTTGATCAGAAACAAATGGTCCAGAAATATTCATGTTGGTTACAAAGATTCCAGAATTTCATTCCACAATAGAAAGACAATTGGTACTTTGATCTTCATGACCCATTACGTCACTCTCACCTGTACGTCAGATCACGTTTCTCCCGAAGGCCTGCTCGCCCGAGAGGCTGCTGCGGGGCCTCCTCATGGCCGCCAGGGCCTCCTCTGTGGGCTCCCCGCTCTCCTGCTGCATGAGTTTCAGCCTCTCACGCAGCTGCCCCTCCCTGGCCGCTTCGGGGCTTCAGGCCAGAAAACCTTCTCAAATATCCCTAAAAGGAAGAGTAGGTTATTGATCGGTTTTTTGACCAGCTCTCCACACTTTCTTCCACTCAGTCTTGCTAATTAATTAATAATAATAATAATTGCTTACACTTATATAGTGCTTTTTCTGGACACTCCACTCAAAGTGCTTTACAGGTAAAGGGGACTCCCCTCCACCACCATATATTAGGCTTTTTGCAGAGAATTCCAATGTCTTTATGTAAAGATACTCCAAGGAGATCTTATGTACTTCTCACTGAATCTTCTTTTCACAAAGTTTGCTGTCTTACTGGAGTAGAAACTTTTGACTGTTTGCCAGTGTCTCTGTCACTGTTATTCACTTACATGACTATATTAAAGCCATTTGAGTATTTGTAGTGTAATGTAACTCAATTGTGAGTATTAAGGATGCTCAGAATTCATTTTAAAAATTGCTCCAAGAGCGGCGAAATTGCAACCTGTATTCTTGATTCATTGCTGATAGAACAGCTGGAGGGTTTAAAATGATTGTCCTACCTGATGATTGTTCTACGTTTTAGGATAAGTGTGAATAAAGAAATATAATCCCTGAGCACCTGCTAAACCGAATGTCTTTAAATGTAATTTCCTATAGTATGTTGTTTGTCACTGAGAGCACTCCTCAGATATGGCTCTGTTTCTGTGCATCTATCAGGATAGGACTAAACCTAAAGTTCTGTTTTAAAGACTTTTGAAGTTTTTAACCACTAATGTACAATAAAATGCTTTTTATTTGTAGATTTGTTAACTAATAAGATTGTTACCAGCTATGATTGTCGTTGTGTCCTGTCGATGCAAAAGAAGCCAATTGCTGACCTGTCCTTTGTCGGTAGTGTCAGGAATGATCCTGGATTCAGAATTACACTGTTTATTTTTATTGGACATACAGAACACACTAGACAAAGGGAACAGTATTGTGTTGAGATTTTTATTATTTCTGTTTTTCCTTTTCTCAGGCTTTAAGTGCTCAAACCACTGAAATTAACCACCACAGTTCAGTTCAGTTCTTTAATAAACTCAATAAGTCCATTCTATATTCCACACAGCACTCCTCCTCTCTCTCATACACATACAATACAAATTGGTTTTCATATCCTTCTTAAGAAATAAGAAGCTACTTCTTTCACATACACCATGAACCACAGAAATGGAAAATCCCCTCATTTTGCTATGACTCCTGTAACTCAGAAATACAGAAGAACACATGCAGAATAAATTGGGGATTTTTCAGTCACGTAATAATTTATTTAACAAAATCAATAATTTAATAACATTTGGCCTCAGACCAAAATTAAATAACTGAACTCTGGTTTCCAGACCAGACATGGCTTGAAGTTTCAACAAACTATAAAATAAAGTTTTTTGAAAAAAAGATGTGCAGAAATGTTATTTTTTCCTTGTTGGGTTTTAGCAGTTGAGAATGGAGTTTGTCCTCAGGATGCGAAGAACTTTGCGTGCTCTGTAGTTGTACTCAAACTGTATTGCACCCCGGTAGAAATACAAATATCCTGGCAGGAAAAAAAAAACAAGATAACTTGTTCAGCTTGAGTTGTAACATAAAAGTGTATTCAAGAAAGCCAGCATCAGTGAAGATCATACACAAAACTCCTAAAAATCTGCATTATTTTAGGTTCCCAAGTTCTGCCTTTTTAGTGCCGCTAATATCTGTCTCTTCTCCAGCCAAAGACAGCAGACACTTCTCTGACAGGTCCATAGAAGAGCTTGGTTACCCACCGTATTTGTAGGAGACAGCATCCATCTCTTCCCCAATCCCCGGGAAATCGTCTTCTATTGACCTGGGATACCCTGGGTCCATGGTCCCACTACTCTCATCATAGCTGAGAGAGGAACAGACATCAGTCATTTCATTCGTGCTCATACTCGGACAAGGGAGAAATTATGAACGTAACGTAAGAAAATCTCAGCCTAAGTGAAGTCCATCTGGCCCTTCCAGCTCCTTTAGTTGCGAGTTGATAATCAGTATGAGCTGCCCCTTGAAAGAACTCCAGTTCAACATGGTTGGCTGGCTTGCTCCTCTCTGCAACAGCCCCTCCATTGGAGTATATTATTGTGTCACCGCATCATCGATAGTGTAGAGCTGTACTATGGTCTCACCTCAGTTGAAGTGTGGTTTCCTACGGTTTCAGTTTCAATGTGATTTACTACTATATTGCAGAGGAATACCCTGATTTACCGCAGTGAATTAATAACATTTATTGTCACATTGTGGCATTCCCATGGTCCACTGTTTAAAAGCACGGTGAAAGCACAAGTGTGGTAAGCCACTGTGAGACCCCAGTGAGTACCACTTAAAGGAGCAATAGACATCCGCCTGCCTCTTGGGGAACCTAGAGGAAACCATGTGAGATCAGGCGTCTGTGATTCACGCTCTGCGCAGCTGTGTCAGGGGATGGATCATGGTGCTCAGACTGCTGATACTGACCTCCAGTAGTCTTCGTCTGTGAAGAGCAGGGTCTTCCCACTGTCCTCCATGTAAACAGCAGCGTCGATCCTGCGGATGCTTTTCGGAAGGCCCAGCTTGTGAATGTACTTTGGGTAGCCTTCCACCAGGTTGTACCCGTTGAGAGCCCACATCCTGATACCTGGGGAGAAGTCACCACACAGACAGCCCTTCAACCAGCAGAAGCTTGCAGTTTTCTTACATTCGATCGGCACATTTCTTAAAGGAAAGACACGTTGATGAGATTTTCACTATGTTGTGTTACATCTGAGCCCTCCAGCCCTTGACAAAACACAGTCCATAGGAGAAACGTGTCAGTTGTCCACCTGATAACTCCTTACTAGGCATTTCTTACACAGGTGGAGTGCGCACAGCACAACATTACTACGGAGAGGAAGGTAGAGAACTGTGCGTACTGCGTTCAGGAAAGAATGAATAAAACACACAATGAGAGGAATGTGAACTACTGTGTAGAGTACAGCACGCACAGTACAGTATACAGTCTGTCCCATAGCTGCACAGTGCTGATTGTAGTAGAAAACCAACCTTTAAATATGAAAACGAGGTCTTTCGCAGGATTTTCATAGGCTGCGTCAATCTTGTTTGGAATAGATGGCCAGGTCATCTTAATGAGCGTTTGCTCGGGTTCCACCATCTGGGGGTGCAGGCGCCAGTAGAACCTGGGACACAGACGCAGTCAGCTGCACCAGCCCGCCAACACAAAGCACAGAGCCCCACAGAAACTGGCACTAGAAGACACCTGCAGAGCAGAACCACTGCCAGCTGCTGGTTAATGTACCTCCCAACCCAGTCTGACTGGTGCAGGAGCTCTGAGGTGAAGGTCTAACAAACTTCTCCTGCAGCACTTCAGTCACGCAAAGTCATTACCCACCAAAGATCACATTCCACAAATCAGGTAAAGCAGTTAAGTTATTCTATGACTTTTTTATGACAAATGAAAGTGCACACTTTCATAATGCTTCATTAGCTTCATTAGCTTATCAGTTGTTCAATGTTAAATTTTGTTAATCATCAGTAGTTTGTTTAAAATTTTGGATCTTTACGTAAAAAGTAATATTTATATTGCACATCACTGCTCTTATATAGCAAGTGGTTACAGAGGCGTTTTCAGACGCTACCTGTCCTTAAAGATGATTGTTTCCCCTCTGAGTTCAGTCACTGCATCAAAGGTCAACATGGGGTCACATTTGTCTGGGGCGTCAGGCTTGGGTTTCACTTTTCGATGGTCGGGGTTCGGGCCTGCATTTGAGAATGACCCACAAAAAAAAATGACTTTGTGCAAAATTTAACAAAAATACCTCTGTATTTCAGAAACATATATAAGCATGGCATTTAGAAAAATATTAAAAAGGGAAAAACTTTCTGAAATATGACTGCAAAAAATAAATTCCAAAGTTAACACTGCAGCCACCTCAAATTATTTGCATATGGATGCTGAGATCGGTGCTTAGTTTTATCAGAACTGCTGTAGAATCCCCAGGTGGCAGAGCACAGCCGACAGCCCACTGGATCATCTTGGCCACATGCAAGCCTGCAGTGTCGTCAGCGAGAGTCACACCACTGCTCAAGCCAGCGCTAACCCTCCTTCAGGGCTCCTGGGAGCAGCACCGCGGTTCTCACAAGTGTGGACACGGGTTCTCACTGTCCCTGTGCGGCACAGGATAACCGGCGAGCTCAGTTCCCCACTTGCCGTAGAGAGCCTGTATTCCGTGCATGTCGTCCTCAGCGAGGGGGAAGCCCCGGGAGTAAGAGTACACTGGGAACATCAGAGCCCCCGGGTCCGAGGAGTGGGCGAGGCCGAGAGCGTGGCCAAACTCATGGGCTGCAACGACGAACAAGTTGTAGCCTACGCAGGAGACACAGAGCACACTGTATTAGTGAGGGCACAGCTCTTTTCAGTGGGCTTGCTCGGGCTACATGGGTGCCATGGCTGGAAGCTAAAATACAAGCCCTGAGAATTACTGTACCGCTTGAGTCGGTTGACCATGTTTCGTCTTCGTCAAAATGCGTGTCTCCCCCAATCCCATTCCCTGGAGGGTAGGCGTGGGCCAGCAAGCCGTTGGGCCCATCAAAGGGATTAAAGTCTCCGTGTTCTGCGGCAGGAAGGAAGATCAGGGTTAGACACAGAGTACAGCTGGAAATGGGGATTCAATTAAACATCCTATCGCCGTCCTCCAGCTGGGCAGAAATGGCTCTGAAACACATCTCCCAGGTACCACACAACTGTCACCGTGCTGTGAATCTGGCGTGGAGGGAAGGAAGGTTACCTTTTGCTCCAAAGGCTATCATGATGTCTGCAGTACCGTTGTGTATCTTCTTGAAAACCAGAGGGGTCACATCACTCCATGCTTTGAGAGCATTATGGATCGCCCTGTCCACTTCAGAAGGTTTCAGATCTGGGGTGTAATTTACAATCCTGAAGCAAACAGTAATAAAAAAAAATCAAAGAACATCTACTCTAGTCAGGTTAGGAGAGAGCATTTTGCATCCTAATTTTATAATACAGAAAACAAAAATTAAAATGTTATTCATTTGGAGTTGACTAGTCAGGAAGTACTGTAAGTTCTACTGTTTAATACACATTGCTGGTAAATTCAAATTATTCCTCTATAGTAAGTTATATGAGTAAAAAACATATATATATATAACATATTCAGAAACATTAATAACGGAAGCTTTCCTTTTGGTACTGTACGTTAGACTGCTTCTAACAGTGAATTTGTGGCATATCTAACTCAATGCTCTTCTGAAACACAATGGCAGCTTAGAAAATATTTCAAAACACTGGCACGTCTTTCCAGGTGACGTAGCCCAGCTGTGACCGTCCTACCTGAAGGTCACATTGTTGTTTCTCCATTTGAGATTCCTGGGGAAGAGATTATACTCCCCCACGTCAGGGACCCCACACCGGGGCATGTTCATGACAGCCAGCGTGTCGGGGTCCAGCTGTCCGGTCACCTCCAGCCCCAAGAAACCCTGCATCTCCTGGATCTTCAGCTGCACAGAGTCGGGGGACCCCGGCTGCCCCCGCAGACCAGGTGGGGAGAGGCCATAGAACCTGCGGAGGTACTTCTGCAGACACACACACAAGGAGCCAGGCTAAGAAGATAGACAAGACTTTCTTGGAGACTAAACGTTTTCAACTTGGAAGAGATTTTACATTTTCGTGTATCTGTACTTCAAGACCATTGCCCAATCGTCAATAGCCTAATATTTTGAAAGAACAAAAAGACTAAATAATTCAACTAACTGCATGTTACAGTACAGTAACAAATTAATACAATGGAGCCCCTCATATTTGTTCAATGTTATTTAAATTGTGTTCGTCTGAGCTGTTTAATTTGTCCCTCTTTATTTTGTCAAAGAAAGAGGTGGTACTCTGGAGGGTTTAAATATGAAGTCTGAATTAAGTGCTAGCTGGATTCCTGACAGGTTATCACTATTTTCTGGGGGTCCTCTCAGAAAATGTGCTCATTCTGACTGAAAGTCAAGGAGACATGATCCTTTAAAAGGCTCAGCTAACCTCTGCAAAAATCCAGTTGTCTTCTTTCTGTTCTGCCTCCTTTCTGGACAAAGGGGCTGCAAAAAGAGGTGAAACTGCCAGAAAAAGCAAGAGTCCGCTGGCCTTCATGGCGCCTCGCTGCAGCGCTGTCCTGGCAGATGTGAGAGTCTGTACAGAGAGCAGGACTATTTATACCTAAGTGCCATCTTTGTCCCATCAACTGATCCAAGTGATTCATTTTCATCCTTCTACCTCCAGGCCACTTCCTCTCTGACATCGGCTCAAAAGTGCTTATAGTGAGTGATTGTGGTTCAGTAAGGAGGTGAACTCCAGGTCTGCAGCTGGGAAGTAACCTGAGAAGATTTACAGACACCTACATGGTATGACTGTACACATACACAGACGTCTAAACAGCTCTCTTTCGCAGATTGCACTGCAGGCAGAATTTGCAAAACTTTCATCGTGACACTGCAATGTTATTTTTATGTTGTTGTCTGAAAAGCCCCGCTTACCTTTGCTAAAAAGAACCACTTGCTTTGAATATTTTTTGCTTGTTTAATGACACATTTGCATTCAGTGTACACAACATCTCCACTGCAACGATCAAGAATGATTTTAAATAGAAAGACAAATGCCTGGTCAAATCCTACTCATCATATAGATGATATGTTATTTCTTGATAAACTATACACGTTTCAGGGTGGAAATTTTATATCTTGCAATTTGTACAGACAGATTTAAAATAAAAACATATCAGGTAAGCTGTTTGATGGAATAATATTCAGGAGAAATTGTGATTGAAACACTTATGACATACTTGTTTTTTGTCTGTCATCCTTATGTGTTGCTTCATTACCCAGGTTTGAATCCTCATCTTCTGTAGAAGGAAGCACTCTTGCAAAGCAATTCTGTCTATTGCAAAACTTTACGTTCATTCTTCACATTACATTTGTAGTGTGAATTGCAAACAACAGCATACAGTTCCTTTTTTAATTTTCCCAGGCTTCTGCTAGAAATACACACCGTCAAGTGACTGAGTGACATTATTAGTTGTTAAACAGGATGTACTTATTTAGTTGTCTTGGGACAGATAATCTGGAAAAACTGAGTCAGTCCTGATGCACATTGCCATGCTAACCCAGAGACACCTGATTGACAGCTTTGTGGAGGAGAGGTTACAATTGAGAGGAGGCCATCTAGCCCCTCTTGCCTTTTTGGTTGCTGGCAACTTAATGATCTAAGAAGTTAATTCATGCATACATCCCTTTCTGCAAGGACCCCATAGTCTACAATTCACCCACATGACCGGCAGATGGGCTTCAGACTCCCAGAAGAAGTGTAAAGAAATATCAGAAGACAGTTTATCACCTTTCCAAAAACATGCTCAAGGGTGGAGTCACATTCAGTAGCTCTCCAAGAACAAATAAGAAACTAAAAAAAGTTCAAGTAGGTACTGTAGCTGCGTCAGCATGCATAGACTGCAAAGGAACAAGTAAAGGTTTATTCCTGCTGAAAGGGAAAGAAAAGGGACACAACCTTCTGGCTGTGGAGCCTTCCTCAGGTGTAAGGGATTTACCTGTTCCTAAGAAGCTAGGAGTTTGTCTTGGCACTTTACTTTCTTGCTTTGACTAAAGAGATGTTTTAGGACTTCATTTCCTGTAGAAAGCCTGCGTCTTTGCGAGTGGCTATGCTGGGATGCTGCAGATGGGAGGGGAGATATATTGTGTGCATTTTCTGGGAACAGACTAGACCAAAAAAAATTTAACATGAAGAATATTTTTCAATACTGGAAGGCTTTGTGTTTTTGTTCTTGAACATATATTACGGTAATACAGTATATTATATATCTTGGTAGTGAACATGTATTAAAAAGATGTCATGAAGAAAACGCACGCAGGGCATTAATAAAGGCACGATTCCAAAACATTCTAAAAGCACCCTGCTTGTCCTTCTTTCTTCCCCAATATAAATCCCATGAGCTCTGACTCACAGCTGGGAAAGCCCGGAGAGCAAGGTGCATAGCACAGCTCTATTGTTAGAACATCTGACTCAAGCTGGGGAATAACATTGAACAACAAGCTTACTTACTTAATAGCTGCAAATGACTGAAAAACATAATTTACTCAAAATTAACTGAATTCTTGTTGACATCAAGAATCTTGATTTCTTGGACATTAAACTCTCCCAAAGACGAATAAGAGCCAAATTAGAGGAGGCCATTCAGCCTGTCTTGTTTGCATGGTTGCTAGTAGATCAACAAGGGTCTCGTCCAGTCTTCTCTTGAAAGACCCATGAACCTGCCTGAGCAACACGATTCAGCTGTTTGCTCTGCACTTCCAGCATCCTTTGTGTCAGGAAGGTATCGTATTACCCCTGCTGAATGCATCCTTTCTTAGTTTCTACTCTTTACTCAGCTGAGCCCCTGTTGAGTTCTTTGTAGCCTGAGTAGCCTTTCAAGATTGTCAATGTGGTATTTGTTTTAAGTCCTCTTAGATGTTTTTGCTTAGAACTACAGAAATTCAATAGCACAGTCGTTAATATGGTGGAACTTGAACGGCGTGTTGGTTAAGAGCAGACCTGTGGCAGCTGGAGCAGTCCAGGAAGTAGTGCCTTCCTCAGTGCTCTTCCTCTTCTCACCAGAGCAGCAGGATGACCTCTGGAAGCGTTTCAGCTTGGTCTTCAGTCCTGCTGTTCACATTTACCTAAAATAAAAATAAATGTTAATGTAATAAAATAAAAACAACCTCAAAGAGTCATGGATAGGGGAAGCTGAAATCCCGATCTTTATACTTTTTAAGAAGATCATATATTACAAAGTTGCCAGTTTGTTCTTTAATTTATTTTATATGTGATAGAAAAAACATCAACCTGCCTTTGTAGCATTCATAAGAATGCAAGGTCACAGAAAATATAAAAATAAATAATAACAAATAAAATAAGAAAGTTTCCAAATAAGATAACATCTGGCCCATCTTACCCATTTCATAATTAGTAGTTATTTAAACCCAGAATCTCTCACTTTTAACTTTCAATGGGCAAGTCATTGGCTCCTTCTTTAGTAAACACGTGAGTGAAATACTGATTTACTACATCAGCCATTTCCTTTCTTTGTTTAGAGTTTTCCCATTTTCATCCCAGATCTATTTTACTGTATTCATTCAGCTTACTCTTTAACTTTTAACAAAAAGAACATGAATAAAATGTTATTCAGCATTTCAATAATCTTAATTTAATTTTAAGTTTTGTAGAAGCTGAAGAATATCTTTTTTTTTGTCTCTTCAGATCGGAAATGTAGCAATAATGGATTCCCTGTGGCCCATACAAAAAGAAGTGGAATGGTTTTCTTTTTTGGTATGGTTTTGATTTGTGCAATAAACAATAAAAAACTCTTGAAGTCAGCCAGGCCAGCCATGATGCATTTCTAAACACTGATGATGAAACTGCTGTTTATTTCAACTTCTTGCTTTGCTTTGTGAGGATACAACACAGCGCCCTCCTGTGGCCACCTACCGGAGGACACCTTCACATACACCAGTCAAACCTAATTCAATTCACTGCCAGGTTCTATATGTCATTAACATACAGTATATCCTCCATACACAACTGTAAAGCTAACAGGCTATTTTTTGTACAACAAAATACAGCTTAATCAAGATTAACTGTGAATTTAAAGTGGCTAAAAGTTTGGTAGACACCACCATGGAATTGTGCTTTTGCAATAAAGCAGGAAAAACACCGAGCAGAGCAGTGTGGAGCACAGCAACAGGAAATATCTTAGACGTTTTTACTGCAGTGTGAAGTCTTTTACTGTATACCAAGCCAGTAAAATTCAGGTTAGACTATTGTGCCCTATACGTTTGCTTGCTGTGCTGCCTGCTGCGTGTGTTTCTCTATAACTCCACAACAGAGGGTCCATTATCTCACAGTCTAACACTGTACTGCCTCTGCACCGGCTTCTGAAATGATCTGTCACAGTGGCAAGAATTTGGATAAGAATATCATTCCTCAACATTTCAATTTAGTTAGAGTTTTTAGACATTTCTATACTATTTCAATTATATAGAAGATAATCACCAAACTTCTGTCTACCCACGCTGTCTACACATTTAGCCCTCTGGAACAGATGACCAACTAAGACAGAGACCCTGAAAGAGAAGTGTGATGGTGGAGTCAGAAGGTACAGTATGCTGCACTGGAAGACAGTGTTCCTTAAAATGGCAACAGAATGAACTTGAATTTTAAAGTTCCAGACAGTTACAATGCACAATCAATTCGAGTTTCCTTCAGCTGTCACACAGAGATATACAGTATGCACTGTACAGTAGATATTCCTCATCCTTATTCAGGAGTCAAAAGCACTTGGAAAGTATGCAAAAATGGTAAAGTGAGCAATTTAGCCAAAATGTGTGTGAAGAGCTGCGTTTTTTCATTCAGATCTCAGTATTAACATATCACTACATTTTTCTCATGTTTTAGGACTTGTCTGTCTGTATGCACAGAATATAGCTTCAGGGCCGGTGGAAGCTAGTTAGTAAAACAGATCACTTCAATTTAATCTTAATTGTTTTATGTACTGTAGGTGAGTTTGCAGTGTGCAGAGCGGTGCTGAAAGATGACTGGAGTTCAGCGCAGACAGTCGGCCTGAGTCCCTTTCTCCCCTTTTCGGCTAAGAGTCTCCTTCCGGCCCACTCAACTCCGTTGTGTCATGGATTTCCTGGTTTTGACATGAAAGAAACTCCCTTTGAAAAAAAACAGAAACATTCCCGAAGGTAATAAAGCTAGAATATAATCCCCGTTTTCTTATTTTCTTAGAAGTGATCGTTTTCTTGTGATTTTGCCTGCATTGCATTTAAACGCTAATCCTGAATAATGTTTTTAGTTTAATCCATAATGATTAATCCTAACAAAATGCACCTGAGACAAGGTTAACACACAAATACAGGAAATACTAAATTATTTACATTTAATAAAATAGATCAGTATATTAAAAATATGTTTTTTTTACTTTATGTTATGGACGAAAGCCGCTATACAGACACAGCGACTGCTGTCATTTGTGCTAATTGAGGACAAAATGCCATTTCACACAAGCATTCACAGGCAGTGCACAATGTCCTGCTTCAGTCTCAGGCCTTAATCACACTGAGTCACTTAAACAGCTGCATCATGT